TGATTGCTCCACATACATTTCTTGTTTTATACTGATCTTTCTAATCCTGCACTCACTTTGTCTGCCTTGCACCGCCCTCAGAAAATTACTGTCCCCCATTTTCTCAATGCAGTTTCTAGCCTTGATACTCTTCGCTAGTCTGTGGGAACCACAGTGCCTCCCATAGCAATGTTGCTCCAGACACACAGGCAGTCTGTTTTCCATCCCCACTCAGATTCGGTCCACATGCTAATCCTAATCTTTTGCTTATCTAATGCGGGTCCTTCGGGCAAAGTCTGAAATGAGGGTAAGAACTCTGCGACTGGAAAGGTGCCAGCATGCCTTCCATGCTGTAGTCATTTATTACAGATTTTAGAAAGAAATTTTGCAGCATATAATTACAGAGAGGGGCAGTGTCCGTTTATTAGGAGTCCCAGACTTCGATCTATCAGTTACAGGTGTTGCCAGCTAATACCACTGTAACATGCACCTGCTATTCCCATTTTTCATGCTATGCCTTTTCACTAGTAATTCTAGTCCCCTTCTCAGGCCCTTGTGAAACTATACTCAAACAAAAGCCACAAATGGTGCAGTTCAACATTGATCCCCAGCCTGTGTACAGCTGAATGCTCACAATGGTTTACTTTTTCTTCACGCTACAGCAACTGTCCTTTTAGAAAACAGCCTGTTCTTGCTCTCTGCTAAACAGATGGAGGGCATGCTCTCACAAGAAATGAGCAGAAAATAAGAGTCAGCATGCTCAAGTGGCTCCCGGTTGCTCTGATGGCTTTGAGAGAATGGCCATGAGAAACTGGAAGGGCAGAGTTGGAAGCTGGAAGATGAATAAAGGGTGAAGAAGGAAGGATATTGGGAAAAGCTGTTGGTTGTAGCCTCTTCCCTGAGTACAGATGAGTTGACACTGAAAATAGTACCATTCCTGCAAATGCTCTGTGGTGGTTATTTTCCCAAAACTTCACAAAATGATCAACGTCAGTTTCTCATATAGTAAACAAAGAAAAGAGCTATTGCTGAGCTTTGAATAACCTGGGATCTCAGAACCTGTTTGCACTGTAGTAGGCATGGTGGTGTTGGGTGGATGGTTGGACTTGATGATCTTAGAGGTCTTTTCCAGTCTATGATTCTATGATTCTATGATTCATTTAGTGGGACTGTCATCCCGCCTGTTCCTTCAGAGACCCAAAAAGTGATACAGAGTCCCGACATCAGTAACTCAGGTCTTAATGACTCTATTAAAAAAAAACAATCCTGGGTTTTAAAGGGCAGTTAGAGCTCTCCATTAGAGAGTTAATCTCTCCAGGTCTTGAAAGCAGAGTCATAGAGAAATGTAGATGATAGCTGGCAGCTACTAGTTTAATGACAGAGTGCATTTGTAATGATAGTATCTCATTATCCATGTAAAGACAGCTTAGCAATTTTTAAGTAAAAATAAAGAAATCTGAAAAGAGAAGACTGAGGTATTACATTACATTCTGTAAGAAGAAAGGACTAGACATAGTAATCTTTTTCTTTCAAATCCTTTGCTATGATCTGCAGGCTGTTACTGTGCCTCAGCACATCTGTACATATTTAGACTCTTTGGTAGAATCCATGAGAAAAATCTTTCAAACATGCTTGTTGTTTGAGGTTCTACCCTACCACTAGGATATGTTAACTAGCTAAAGTGAAGCCACTAATTTAGATTGTTTATAAAGACATTTATTGTTGGTGGCTTTTGTGGAACACATGAAGTGTATAGATTTCAGAGGCATAATTTTTTTTCTTTTCTTTAATCATATGAAGCTCTCAGGTGGAAGAGGGCTTCTTAAATTCACATGGTCTGGTTTACTGCCTTTAAAACGTTTGTCTGTCTGGTCCAGTCAGTCTCTTGTCACTGTGGAAAAGTGCGATATGCTCCAGTTATGTCAATTACTAGAGTATGAAGAAGAATATAAAAGAGATTAAGATTCAGTAAATCTACAACACATAGAAGTATGTTACTGTCTGGCTGCTGTAATTTTTACAAAACAGGTACAAACTGGAAGGATTATGGGGCTATAAGTTTAGTAAGTCCTCTAGTTTTAGAAGTCTGCAGGTTGAGGCATCCGCTTAAGCCAGCTAAAACCTCAGTAGAGCAAAGAAGCAGCAGAATTATTGAATACTTTAAATGTGAATGGGTGGCTCCTTCACCATGACAAGAAACATTTACAGTGCTCCTGTAAATCTTCCCAAGTGCTTCACGTCTTGCTAAATATTTATAAGATCTTCATGGGTCTTCGTGAAGGTTTTTTAGGAACTGCTCCTCACTTAATTTTTGTCTTAAGGACCTGCCCTTCATGGTGCTTATCCTCCTCAAATTCTGTTGAGACCGGGGATTGATTACCCTTAGGTCCCTGAAAGACTGGGCCCTATGAGAGGATTTCTTCAATTAGTTAAACTGGTGCTCTAGAAGTTGCTGAACTGCCTCCCATTTTGCTTTCTGTTGATGGCTAGTTGCGCTACAGGACCACTCTTTGCAGATTGGTAGAAGCACATTCAGAGTCTTGACAGAAGTTGTCTGATTTCCGTGAACTGTGTATTTAGTTCTTGATTATTTGGGGTTTTGGCAAGTGAAAAGGAAGCAGGAATTAGTGATATTTTCTCATGTTGCTTTGCTCAGATTATAGGAGAGAGATGGTAACTGGGGAATTGATGGCAGTGATACTGGTTACACTCGTAAGCTTGCTGGCTGAGCAGGGCTCTTCACTTCGTAAATACACCAGACAGCTGCTGCATGGTAGTTCAGAACATTAGAAAGGCCAAAGCCATAGCTATCTCTTCTCCTATGTTAGTTCATTTTTTTATCTTTAGCTCCTTTCCATTTTAAGTGGACTCTAAGACAGACTTTTTTTTATATGTAAAAAGGAGTTTGGTAACTTAATGCAGAGAAAATGAAGAAGGAATGAAATCTTTGAGAATTGGTTGGGTTTGTTCTTTTCTGTACTGTTAGTACTATCAGTACAGATATTTTGAACTATATCAAATAACATTTTAGAGCTGGAATCAAAAATTTTATGCACTTTTGGATAAACTGTAATTCCCAAATATTTGAAACCAAATATTACTCCAGGAAAAAGGAGAGTTCTGTACAGGAATTTCTGGAGCTATTGATGGGTTTTAATTATTTTCCATGAGAGAGAGACTTGTGAAAGGTACAAGACTGAAAAATAATAAAAACTGAACTAACCTGCTTATCTTTAGAACATGTACAACATAGGCAGCAGCTGTGGACATTGCTTCACCACTCGGCTGCCAGTACGGTCCCATCTTGCTCTGCAGGGAATGTGATTGTTCACTCTCCACTGTGCCTGTATCTTTGGCCTTGCTTACAGGGACACCAGTGGTGATCCAAGTGGTGAGCTTGTCTGTCAGAAGGAGGTGATAGAAAGTTAGCCATTTATCTTCAGCTTTTAAACAGCCTGTCTAAAGAACTAAAACCATCTCTTTTGAATGAGTAGCAGTAGTATATAGAGGAGAATATTCAATGACATTCAATGTCTTTGAATGACATTGAATATTCTCCTCTATATATTTAAATCTTTGAATTATTCTGTATCTCAGTACCTCTAATAAACCAAACAGAAAGTGCCTGCATCCACAAATAAAGCTTTTTAATATCTTCATACACATGCTGTCAAAACTAAGACAAAATATTTCTGCTTTAAAACAAAAAAATCCCATGAATCACACTTACTCTAATGGCATGTGTTCTATAAAAATACATTGATAAATTGCAGGAGTAGCCTTTCCAGCTCAGACCAAAGACCTGTCTGGCCTGGTAACCTGCCCGCAACAGCAGCCAAAGCAGATACATAAGGAAGGCTAAAAGAGGGAAGACGTGCCTCCTGGCCTCCAATAACTTGCAGTTCATGGATTTCCTGTGTCACGGGTTGTGTCTTTGTATTCAAAAGTCCTCACTGGATTCCTTTCCCTATTAATTTTTCTAATAAACTTTTACCATCCACATTATCCTAGGGCATGTAATTTCACAGTGTGACTAGTGTGACTGCATCATGTGGAGAACCACCTCTCTTCGTTTTCAATCTATAGACAAATGGACTGTTCTTATTTTCCTTTTCTTTGCTCCTTTTTGCTTCTCCTGCTCATTTCTTGCACTGTACTCTACATAAGGCCGAAGTCCGTCATGCCATTGCTTTCCTGGACCAGTTTTTTTAAAGCTCTGTTGTTGCCTTGCAAAGGTCCTCCTCAGTTAGTCACTCTCATGCTATGAAAGCTCCTCTGCTTTAATTTCTCTTTCTCTTGAGGCAGGTTTCGAAAAACATGTTTTTTGGGGGGGAAGCTTTTGTCTTGCCCTTATTTTGAGAGTGGTAGAAGATTATCCCTGCTGATAGAAAGTAGTTGTGCACTCACTCTGAGACCTCAACACTGTTTTATTCTTTCTGTTCTGTTCACGCTGGTGCAGGCAGTGCCCCAAACACTGTTAAGCTTTCCTGAGATAGACTTGTTCTTCCATGTCTCTCACCCATGCAGGAGCATGCTTAGTACCTGCCAGCAAAGGTTTGAAGTTTAGCTCTGATGACAGTGCTTTACATTTCCTTATCGGAGTGAAAAATGCCACTAGCCTTACTCAATTTCAGTAACTGCATCAAAAGTGCAAACTTACATGGGTGCTATCAAGACAGGAAAACTCATCAGCAGTATTTAGAGCCTTCCCTGTTGCTCTCTGTTTATTGTGTCACCGCTCGGCACTTGTATTAAACACAGGTTTGGGATGCATCTCACCTATTTTGGTATGCCTGTAGCAGTGCCCTCTACAACCGAGAGAGTCACCTCAGGCTCCTCTTTAGGAGAGAAAGAAATACTTATAGAGCACAATTCATTAACATTATTTGTGCTGTTTATCTTAGAACCAGATTATTTATACCTTCTTTCTTTCTTTCCATTTCTTTCCATAATAAAGCAGTCTCAACAATTAATCTGTTAGGCTTCCATATTGTAGGTGTCTACATTTGGTTAGGTGGATCATGTTGTTGCAGAGGAATTCTTTAATATTCGTCATTGTGGTTGATGCAGAAACCTACAGCATCAGAAGGTAAGTGATGGTTCTCATGTTCCACATTCACCAGTCCTTAGAAAAAACATATGCAGAGAATCCTGAGAGCTCCAACTCATGGAGGAATGTGCTGTCACTGGGAACAAGTAGAAAATGTATAAGCTCAAGATCTATAGAAGATAAACCTTAATTAGATCAAGCCCTTCTTCATTGGACACCATGGATTTCGTGTATATTTACCTGAATTTCTCCTCCAACTCAGATGCAGTCATGAAGTAGAAATAATTCTTCTCTCCTTGGTAACCCCAGGGGAGTCCATGGGCTAGTGCATGGGCTACTGTTCCTCTGCTGGGCTTCTTCCTTCTCTTCAAAGCCAGTGGAGCTCTAAGCCCCTAGTAAGTTAATGGGGAGACTTCACAGAGAGTGCTTAACGGTCATCACACTTCATTTTCTTCTGTCTTGGAGAACTTATGGTCTCTTATTAAAAAGGTTCCAAAAGTTTGGTATCCATGGAATTCCAATCTCACTTTCAAAGGCGGTGCCAAAGGATTGGGGCTTCATCTTTTTCATTTCCTATCCCTGTTTTTCTCTTTTGTTTACAATTGGTATTTCTAGCAAAAACTTTTGCATATGTCATGCATTCAGAAGTGCCTGACTGAGTCGGCAAGTAGCCCCTAATAATACCACTCAGAGAAGTAAATTACTGTGTTTATCTTCTCTATAGAGTTCTGCAGATGGTCTTGCAGCTGAAGAACATGTCATTTGCTCAGGACCCCATGGAATTCAATCTTTGGGTGCATCCAGACCACCAGGATTGAGTTTTCAGTCTTACCATACTGGAATTTCTTGCCAGCCTTATACTTTCTCACAATGATAACTGATTTTATTGTGTGCTTCAGGTGTTGTACTGTGCAACAAGGGAGCTGGGAATCATGGAGCCATCTTGCAGGAGTCAGAAAGTCAGGTTGGAGAGCTAGACAGTGTGGAGAGTAATGTGAGATGGAGGTCTGAGGAATAAAGCCAAAATGAACATGATAAAAAAGCCTATATTGGTGGTAGCAATTATTAAGTTTATGTTGATAAGGGTATCAGGACTTACCAGTACAAAATTTCGTTCTGTTGTATGCAACAACATACATAGAAAGTATGCAAGGCTGTGTCAGAATTTGCTGTGCCCTCCTCTGTGCCTTCTGGTAGAGAACAGCATCTGGACCAGTGTTTTTAAAGAGAACTTACTCTTTCATGTTTCTGTATCTATTAGCACACTCCTCAGGCGTTTGACTCTTTCAAACCTTCTAATCATGTAGTAAAACATTTTAAAAGAATATATGTAGCCAAATAGGTGACTGACTCTCAAAAGCAATTGTTGTTTTCCAGCAATGGCTTCGAGTTCAAAAATTTCAGCCATCTGCTTTCCATCTTATGTATATTGATGTTATTTTTTTATGTAGTCAGCATTTTATGAGGCCATTATAATAAGGGGAAGTCTGGGTAATTAAAACTGTATCATGGCTTCATGATCTTTAGTGGTAAAACACATCTGTTGACACAAGTTTATCTCTGTTTTTTTTCTTTTTTTTCACTGCTTCAGCTGCTTCAGAGATCCTGATGCTTTTCTTCTGTGACATCAGTTTAGTAATCTACTGTACTCTCAGGGTTGGTGTTAATGTTAACAAGGGCTGGCCGCAAGTGTGTCAAGTACTTACAAGAAAAATGGACAGGGCCATCCAAAATCACAAACTGATGCCTTCCCAGTTTCTCCTGCTTGGCCCTTTCCCTGGAATATAAATATTTTCAACTACTCTATCTTCCAAAATATTTTACTTACAGCACAGGAGTATCTGTAACATGCTGTCCTGTAATTAGAGGTTATTATTTCAATATTAATATAGAATAACGCAGCATGTAGGCTTAAAAAGTTACCTTTTTCATGTTAAGTTGGCTAGCAATAGTCACTTTGGACTGCTAGGTTTAGAAACAGTTCTCTCATTCATGCCCACTGGTAACCTATGATCCCTACCTTTTATACTGTAGTGGCTGCTATGTGAAAAGAGAGCGTTTGTAACCATTCAGAAATGGGAATGCCTGATTACATGGGCATGTCTACCACACTGTCTTCTGACCAAGTATTCTAGATAATTTATATTTATATTGAGGAGATACTTCTGGACTAACCCTCTTCTTTAAAGCTTTGTGAACTAAACTAGCACGGTTTTACAAACCTCATATTGGTCAGATGATGGGCTTGTTGACATTTCTGCGGTTTTGCTGGCAGGGCTATTCCTTAAAACGAGTTCAAAACAGAAAATATTTTTTTCCTGTATGATTGCACCTACTACGGGCTTTGGAGATTTGATATTTACGGTTTACTTTCTGTAACTGACATTATAGTCCTGGCAGGGGATTAGCCTGATTAGATTCTTGGGACACATCTGTGGTGGTGTCCAAGGAACAAGATGAGCTGGCTGTCAAACTCAGACTCACCAACCATGCTCATTTTAACCCCCCATGTTTGCCTAAAAAGCTTACTCCAGCAGAAGTACCCATGCCCTCTGGAGTCTTCAAGCACTGTTATTGTCTAGTTTCTGTTCATACAGCCTAGCTTCTGTGCATAGGGCCAAACATGCTGTAGCCCAGACAGATAGGCAATACATACCCACTCTGTGGACGTTTGCGCTGCAGTATAATATCTGAGAGGATAATATCTGGCAATGTGGGCTGATGGTTTGTGGATAACAGAACTCTCAATACTTAGTTTTGGTCTTGAGCCTCCTTTTTGCCCTACATCATAAGCATAACTTGGTTATTGTCACCTTACGCAGCAGCTAACAGAGCTACCTGTTGTACCGTACATCCAGACAGGAAGGATAACAATTTGCCAGTGCTGTGGAGAGAAGGGGCAGAGGGAGGGAATTTTGGCTGTGATCGTCCCTTTCACACAGAGCTAGTAAATGTTAAAATACCATCCAGAGTTGGGGAAGAAGCCCAAAACAGAGACGTGCCGTAACTCCAGTCTTCTGACAGCTCACCGTATGCCTCAGCCAGTGATTTCAGGTCACAAATAGAAAACAGACAAATATAAAGAAATGCTTTTAGGAACTACTTGGGATCGAATTAGAATTGATGAGTGGATTTTATCCTGCACAAATAGAATGTCCCTTTTCCACCCTTGCATGTTAATGCTTGTGCTGGTCACTAAGTAGGGTGGAAGTCCCCCATCGACTTCAGAGGAAGGGGGATGGAAAAAATGATGCAGCAGGATGAAACCCCATCAGTTAGGGTTTTAAATGCAAGGCTTGTCTGTGTCTGTCTTCCACTGTGCGTAACCTAGTGACAGTGGTTTGCCAGGTATCTTTCTCTAGGCTCCTGAAAGCACATACATTTTCTCTCATCTTGTCCCTCAATAGAGGGTGCTTTCTGTGGATGAAGTGGATTTAATTATTTAAGCCTTGTTGATGCTCTGGTGCTTTATAAATAGGTGTACCTTAAATCTCTGACAGTGACATAATGTGTACTGGGATTCTCAGCGGAAGAAATATGCAGACAATATGGTCACTACTGTAACACCCCTTTATTAAGCTGCAATTGCAATTCATGAAATCATTGCAAAATAATAAAAAAAATGGTTGGAAGATAAATACCATAGATACGGTCCCTAGAAACCACCGCTCACTTTAATTGAGAGCAGCTGCAATATTGCAGAAGCCCAGGGAATGTTGCAGTTCATATTCTCCCTCCCTGGCTCTTTCTAGGCGAGCACAATACATTTTGACTAACATACATGCTGGCAAGTTTTTATGCAAATGCTTTTCTTCAATATAAAACCAAATGAATTTAAAAGTTGCTTGCAGTCAGGAATGTTGGTCCATAGATGCTCTACAGCTTCAGAGCCAAACAGGCTGCTGTTTTCCCGTTTCCTTTGTTCTTGAAAAACTGCCCATACATTGGGGTTGTGCCTTTAAGATTTCCAGCTGAATGGGGCATCTGGGAACTCAAGGGAGCACTTGCTCTGCCAAAAATTTGCAAATAGAAATGAACTGGAAAACATATATCTGTTATCTGGTCCATCTTCCAGTTCAAAGATTTTGTTTGGGCTGGTCTTTCATGTTACCTCTTTATCATTACTTCTGGAAAAAAAAAGCATGAAGTCATACAGTGCTCCCAGAACTCATATTGAAACAGGCATTAGAGCAAAGAAATAGTGAGAACCTGGTATTTTTCAGTCCCACTTGTGTAACTGATGAGAGACTATAGCATATCCTTATCTGAAAATACTCCTGTGTACATTTTTGGAGACAGAAAACAGGTATTAAGGAACACAGAGACAAACAGCTTAATAGCCCAGGTGCATAACTTGTGCTTCTAAGTCATTCTTCCCCCCCACCCATATACGCCATTTTATTTTCCTGAAAGCCAAGTCAGATGCACAACCCAATGTAACCACTTTAACAGCATCCAAACTGCCTTTGTGCACCTCTCCTCTTGCTAGCTTTAAAGACTGACTAAAGTGAGTGCAGTTCTGTGGGGGAATTGCCAAGGTTTAGAAACCTTCAAAACAATTGCCAACCAAACACATTTAGTTCCTGCCAATGATTAGGTCGGTCATGGGACCTAAGATAGATTTTCTAGTGTATATAGGTTGAAAAACACATGCAGACAGCAAGACAGCATCTGAGTGGAACACTGCATATCACATAGAATAAATCTGTCAAGAGTTAAGCTTGCAGGTCAATCCTCATCCTGTGCATTGCATTAGCCATTTCAAGAGTGTGCCACACTTACTGTGTTCAAAAAAATACGTTGTTCCTCCTTATGAGATTTTTATAGGCCCTAATAAATAATCTCTCCAGATGGTCCTGGGAGGGACATCAGTAGCACTAAATGATTTTTTATTTTCCAAGGAGAAAGGGAGGAACAGCAGCTGTGTCTCTCACCCAAGATCTCCTAGAAAGCCTGAACAAGAGAAAGCAAAAGAATCCAGATCCCCCTTGGGAAAGGGTTTTTAATGAGATTTTCTTCTGTGGAATTTTTCCAGGGTT